CACTCAAATTCAATTCCTTCAGCAGAAGAGCAGCCATCGGCTGTTTTTGTTCGGCGCGGCGCCGGCGTGTGCTCTAGCAATTGTGGAAGTGCAGGCGACCGCAGTCGGTAAAGAACAGGTTAGAGCCGCGCCAAACTCAGCTCCCTGAAAGTCCAGCCTGTGTGACCGCAAGTTCTTCCTCTGGACAATGGAACATTTAGCAGCAATTCCTGCATGTCCTCTTCCCGCTATCAATTTACGTTTACTTATTTATTTGTTTGTTTCAGATTGCTCTCGAAGGTTTGCGAGTACAAATCCCTCCGGGTATCGCGAGAAATATGGGCCGATTGATGAATATCTGCTTGAACGAGGATCCCGGTCGACGACCGAATTTCGATCAAATAATCCCGATTCTGGAAAAAATGTCATAACAAGAAAAAACAGAGAGAAATATTGTAAATATACGTAATCGACTCCAACGATTGATAATTACGATTCCTTATGTTCCAAATACTCTGAACGTGCCAAGCATAATTGTTTTCATTTATAGTGTCCTTTCAAATGTCATATTCTGGTCGAAAAAAGGATATCTTAATAGTTCAAAGTTGAAAAGAGAATGATGATGCCTAACAGATTATTTGCATTGCCACAATCGGTGCTTTCCATACAGAAATCTGCTTATCTTCTAACTCTTTTCATTTATTCATTTAGAAACCCACCCATCAAATGTGATCGTATGATCATGAAGGTTTCTCGATTGAACTGCCAATTGTCTACTGTATTCCCTTAATAAACATGCATCGCTTCAAGTAACGTTATAGCAAATTAGCAAAATCGTAGCGACATACACTGCATATCCCAGCGATGGAGTGGGAGTGGCTGCGTACTTGGTGATGGCTTAGGACGCGCTGTTCGTGGAATATTTCCAATTGATACAGGTGTTGACTTTCTTGTAGTGGGCAAACGCATGGTTGCAACTGCAACGTCCTTCCAGAGGCGCAGCTGCCGCCACTTTTAGAAGAAGCACACAGTCACGGATTCTTCATCTCTGGAATATGGGGTGTACCAACGCGCGTGAAGGTTCATGAGTGG